GACTGAACCATAGTTTCAGCTGGGAAACTGTCAGCATCTTAGACCAAACTAAATCCAAAAATGTAACAGAATTCTTGGTATTAACACTGCTGTAGTTAATTAAAAAAGAAAAGATGGGAAACTGGCATGCAGCCCCTAGCTAATTTTGGGTAATACCGAAAACATGAAGCCAAGTCCAGTTGAGTAACACTTGGATGAGAAATGATCAGGGTTGTAGGCCAGATGGGAAGTTGAAAGAAATAACCTGGAAAGCAATAGCGAATCATTTCCATAGCACTGCTAAACAATTGACATAGATTTGTTCCTGAAGACAGGGGGAGCAAGCTCGACGCAAGGGAGCCCTAGGCCTATTTCCCACATGTACCCCTGAGGCATTCTTAGCACATGCTAACCCTTGGGGGGCCACAGTCCAGTGCTTTCATTGTCAATGAGCCCACCCTCCCCAAGGAACCAAACCCTGCAAAAACAGAAGTCATCAGGGACTATCCTGGGAAGCTTGAAGGGGTGCTGGTGCTGGTAAATTGACAGCCATTTTGTGAGTGTGCCCCAAAGTCCATCATGGGCCCTCCAGTGCAAAAAGATTTTGGATTCCCTGGGCTCCTGACTGTGGAAGGGACAGCGGGAACGGGTGGAGGGGGAGAGGGAGCCGGGACCAGGGAAATAATTGTGCCTTTCTTCTTCCCTTCCTCCTCCCTGGATGCAACTCAGAAGTGCAACAACAAAGGCAACTGTCACTGCAACATGGGCTGGGCTCCCCCCAACTGTGGAAGAGCAGACAAAGGAGGCTTAGGCGGAAGCATCGATAGCTCTTTCCGAAGCGGTTTGTTTTCATCGCTTTTTACACGTTTTAAACCAGGCTGCTTAACCAGAAGAGTCTGTGCTCAGCACTGGGGCTGCAGACAGGGATGCCTGCAGCAAAGCGGGAGAAGTTGTGGGAAGCTCTGCCTCGCGGGGATGGTCCTGGGCAAGACCCCCCTTCATATGGGGCACAGCTGCAGGGCAGGCTTGTGGAGTGCAGTAATGAAATTTCAGGCACTGTGAAAGCCCATCTTTTTCCTTACTTGCTGGCAAAAAACAGACCAGCCAGACCATCAGGCTTGTTTTCTGCTAGCATTTGCCAGTTACCGGTGGAGAGCAGACCAGCCGGTTGCTGCTGGCATGTATTTTGCTAACAAAAAAACCTTCCTTCCTTCCTTCCTTCCTTCCTTCCTTCCTTCCTTCCTTCCTTCCTTCCT